TTTTCCTGGAGATGTTTCATGACCCAACTAGGTAACATCATCAGTGCTAGAAGGGAGTGGGGTTTGTGGAGAGGAGGAGGAGGAGGAGGAGGAGGAGGAGAACTGTGGGGTCCTTGGTGCTCTCTGAGCTTGGTGGTTTTCCTGGAGATGTTTCATGACCCAACTAGGTAACATCATCAGTCCTACTGAGTGTGGTGTTAGTTCCCTGTTTGTATATAATATATCCTCAGTCCCTTCCAGCACTGATGATGTTCCCTAGTTGGGTAACAAAACATCTGCAAGAAAACCACCCAGCTCAAGAGACCACCCACAATTCAACCCAGGGCTACAGACATTCCCTTTGCTTTATGCATTATAATAATTCGCAGGGATATTGGGAGGAAGAGTTTGGAAGCGCAAAGAGGCTGGAGGGGGAATTTCAGAATAAAAACGGGAGTATGTCAATGATTCCTGAAGCTGGCGCAGAACCTTCATTACAATTCCGGGGACATATTCCTCAAAGGGAGTCGTTTCGCCTGCCGACACCTTAGAACATCTGGCCTGTAATTGACAAACCCTGTAGAGAAGGCGGAGGGGATGTTGCTAAGGAAAAGCACCATTGTGGAATGCTAAAATTAAATGCACAGGAGGGGAGAGTGGCCTTTATTTACACAGCATTTAAATATTCATACTCCGTTACGCTTTGCGTCACAGGAAATTACCGGGTTAAAATTTTAGGATCGGCGACAGCCCCAACGAGATAAATTAGGTGAGAACATTTAATGGGATTTTACCGGCTGGGTTCTTGGTGGAAAACAAAAGCAATTCATCTGACTTCTGTTTGATCTACTCATCCTAGTCAAACCAAGTCAGATAAAACCCATGATGGCTTAGTGCAATAGGTGGATCCAGTTGTATTCTGCATCGTAATCGTAGTTTCCAGGCTGGGTGTTTGGAAAGGACTCAACATCCCGGCATTTCAAGCTTATTCTTGACCCTTATTCATCACCCTAAATCTTTTGCATTATAAACTGAGTCTGTTCCTTCATGAGAAAGTAGAACCGTAATCCTTTGACTTGTACTTCGGGAAAATAATCTTTCAAATTAAACTCTAAAATCTATAAGAGTTGAAATGTGTCTGTTTAAAAAAAAAACCACTTTGTTAAATATATAAAATGTATAAAAATAATTGAGGGGGGCGTTGTCTGTATTTATTATATACCTGCTATCTGAAAAATTGGCTGACCTCCATATTTTAAAGTAATTGAAAACCACCATAGAATTTCATTCTGTTTTTTATTTTGGTCCCATTCAGATTTCTTAGGAGCCAATATCAATGTACACTATGGCATTATCTAGTTAGGAAATGAAACGTCCGCAAGAAAATCACCAAGTTCAGAGCTACTGTAGAGAAACAGGGACCAAGTCACACTTACTAGCACTGATGATGTTACCTAGTTGGGTCATGAAACGTCTGCAAGAAAACCACCAAGCTCAGAGAGCACCAAGGACCTCACAGTCGTCGTCCTCCTCCTCCTCCTCCTCCTCCTCCTCTCCACACACCCCACTCCCTTCTAGCACTGATGATATTACCTAGTTGGGTCATGAAACATCTGCAAGAAAACCACCAAGCTCAGAGGTCACCAAGGACCCATCATTTCAACCCTGACTTCAACATTCTTGTCTATCAGTAAAAAAAATAAATACATGCATGAAGTCCATGCTTCTTCCTTTTAAAGAGAAAGACATTTTTTGTGTCTTCAAAAAGTAAGGGTGTGACGTTTTGTTTTGTGGAGAAGATTTGGGAAAGGGGAGGAGGGGGAAAAAACCGCCCCTCCATTTATTTCTGTTTTCCCTAATGTTTTATACTGTTTGTTAGGAGGTGTGAGTCAATGGCTTGAATTAATTCTAATTACTGGAGAGGCATATCCTGATTGAGCAAATAAAGCAGTAGGCTCACTTGCGCCAAGGCCATCTAATTAAATGCTAACTTTGGATAAGCTGGATGTGCGTGAAAGATTAATTTTTAAGAGGGTTTTATGACTCACTAAA